AACTATCAGTCTCTTTATAGATGTACACTGAGCAAAGATAGCCTCTCAATGAGATTTAAAGTTTATAAGAGATACTGTTTCAATGCTGTTTCCAAATTGTTAACTGTAGCCATTTTTCTATGTCATTATTCAGAATCAGAGATAACTTGTTGTGCCTACTTCTTGTAAACCCCTTTCTCTTTCTTAATTTGCTGATGCTAAGCTACTCTGAGCTAAGACACCAGATACCCACTTCAGGGAAGACTGATACAGTGAAAAAAAATATGGGCTGTAGAGTCAGACAGCTCTAGGTTTAAATCCCAGTTGTGCTAATTACTTTGTGGCCTTGTTAAGTTGTTTAACTTCTGAGGTTTCAATTTCTTCATCCTTAAAAATGGGGATACAGGGGTGCCTGGGTGGCTCAGTCGGTTAAACATTCGACTTTGGCTCAGGTCATGATCTCAAGGTTCATGGGTTCGAGCCCCGCGTAGGGCTCTGTGCTGACAGCTCAGAGCCTGGAGCCTGCTTCAGATTCTGTGTCTCCCTCTCTTTCTGACCCTCCCCTGCTCGCTCGCTCGCTCTCTCTCTCTCTCTCAGAAATAAATAAAACATTTAAAAATTGGGGATACTATTAACTATATTGAAATACCATAGTAAAAAGCAAATGAAAATTTTGGTAAAGATCTTGCATAGTGCCTTCTAGTACCTGGCAATATAAATCACTCTGTCAATGATAATCATAATTTATACTGGTAATGAAGTATGTTGAAACTGTAGCTAAGTTAAGACAAAAAGAATTTCTTGGAACACATGATTTTAATGTGTGAAATTCCCTGGCATTGTACCGGAGATACAAAGATGAAAAAGAATATAGTATCTAAGCTCCAGAGGCTCAGAGCCTAATTAAAGACAGACATGTAAACAAAGTCAGAGCAATCTGATAAGTGAAACAGTAAAAGAAGCAGTGTACCATTTGAAGTCAAATGTTTTTCTGGAAGAAGTGACATTTAAGCTAAGAAGATAAACAGGAGCTCACGAGACTGGGGGTTACGGGTTGAGGTGAGCAGTCCCGCTCAGGGAGGAAGGAAAGTGGGCACAGAAAGACACACAGTCAAACAGCTGGCAGGGGCCGTCTGGGGCAGAGTGCTTGCAGACAGTGCCTGCAGAAAGGCAGGCCCTGGCCAGACCATAGCATACTAGTGTTCCAAACCAAGGAATAGGGGGCTTTTTAAAAAACTAATAATGGGGAATCATAAAAGTATTTTAAGGGTAGTGAAGAAGGTTGGCTGAAAAAGACAACATGCTCAGAATTCACATCACAGATCCCCTCGACTAAGACGTGCAAGTTGACCAGGAAAGAGGAATACTACAGTCAAGGAAAATACATGACCTACGGTAGGGATGAGAATGGGGAGTGAAGAATGGATGAGAGACTGAGAAGGCTGTCTTAACAACACTCAGAAATTTGGGAAAATCCCCCAATTTCTCATTTGGGGAAATGGCTGGGTCATCATGTCATGAGTCAAAATGGAGACAACAAAAATGAAAACAGTTTTTGAGACGGCAAATGGGGTCAATCTGAATTTATCTAAAGAGAACTGTCCCTGAGAAAGCCTGGAGTTCGGGGGAGAGCAGAATTCACTCCAACGAAAGAAATCAACATAAAGGCAGAAACGGTGGCCAAGGCAAGGCTAATGTCACCCAGAAGTATAGACTGAAGGTGGGGCTACAAGTATCGACTACTGCTGCTCATGAATATCTCACTTTCTGGCTTTCCCTTGTTTCCCAAATTTTACGTAAGATGTACTTAGAGTTTTCATACTTCTTGAAAAGCATGATAATTTCCCCACACAAGTTGCTTAAGTTTCCTGAGCCCCGTGTCCAATTTCTTCACTATCAGGCCTGGCCTAGCAAAGCGCCTGGGACCTGAAAGGTGCCCAAGAGAAATGAATGAACCACGTATGGTCTTTAGGTCAGTCGAGAAGCCACACCATCTCAGATATTGTTTCAATGTTACACATGAACATTTAATAGGGATTAACCTAAAGTTTTCTCTATATACTCCTTTTTCTATTTAGAAATATATAATTTCCAATGGTTTGGAGGCTCTGAACTTATTTTCCAGAGTTCAAGAACATACCCCAAACCAGTAGTTTATGCTGATCCGTACTTCAGATTTCTGAACATAAGTCAGAAGCAGGTAGAAAAGTAAAATTACTGATTTTTTTTAAATACTAAAGAATTTTTAAATTTTTCAAAGAGGGAAAATACTAGCTTCACCTACAGGTCCATTCATATATATCAACAATGAGAGAGATCCTCACGGGAGTGGTGAAGAGAATATTTTAAAGACTCACTGCTTAGAAGGAAAACTCGAGGACTCCAACGGTCCTTCAGGTACTTTCTTTAGGTACACTCACTTAGATAAATGCACATTACACAAATTCAGAGTCTCATAATGAGCATTCATAAACTGGTGGATGGAAAAGAGGAGTCGATGAGTAAGCAGGGAAGATGGATGCAGAACAGGCGAAACAACGTTATAAGCACCTGAGAGTGTGAAGAGACACCCTAAGGGAACTCTGTCAGTAAAAACTGGAGTGCTGCTTTTTGGTGGTTTTATTTTTTGCTACTTTTCATTAACAAAACAAATGGCATTTTAATAGACTCAAGTTACACAATAAAACTAAGGAAAAAGCTCACCGCTCATAGGATTAGGTGACAGTCACACCTTTTCAGATAAACCAGCTCTTAATAATTCCTTTCCTTTGAATGTCTAACTTTCCTCTCATGTACCTTGTTGTTGTTGTTATTTATTTATTTATTTATTGAGAGAGAGAGAGCGCACACATGTGCACATAAGCAAGGCAGAGGCAGAGAGAGAGGGAGAGAGAGAGAATCCCAAGCAGGCTCCATTTCATCAGCACAGGGCCTGATGTAGGGCTCAATCCCACAACCTGTGAGATCAGGAATGAGCAGATACCAAGAGTCGACGCTGAATCGACTGAGCCACCCAGGTGCCCCTCACGCATCCCTCTTTTGATGAGAACAGGCAGTTTGGCAGTAATAGGTAAAAAACAAAATTAAATTCAACACAAGGACCTGATTTTAAAACAAACCAACAGAAGTCAATCCACCATTATTTTCACATGCATATTTTTGCGTATCTGAGAACGCTGGGTGTAATTCACGTGCCTGATGTAGAGCCTGGGAATGGCCTGCGAGAAATCCTGGCATTATGCGCTTTCACAATTACATTTTACTCCGGGAGAGACTGCATGGAGCAGTCAGAGAGCCCAGGCTTTGGAGTCAGCAGTTCCGTTCTGGCTTCATCACCTGTTATCTCTGTTAACTTTGGACTTTTGTCTTAAGTACCTTGCATTTCTGTAAAATGGGACTAATGAAAGGATTTCACAAGACTCACAAGAATGATATCAAATAGTGTAGCAGGAAGCCACCACATAAATGGTGCTGGTTTTGTAGCTAGCTGCAAGCTCCATTAGTACTTACCAACTGTTTACATTTCAAATTTATCAAGTAACCTAGCTTCTGCCATGAGGGAAAAACAAGAGCCCACTCACTTCCAAAGTACTGCAGTGTCCCATCACTGAAAAATGTACAGGGACTGAAGTATCTCAGTAATTTCTTCCTTTAAACTTTATATCCAAACATCCAGTAAGTCAGGTTTCAGACTGCCACTAGCTGAGAGGGCAGTGATGAGAAGGTGTCCTACATACACATCCACTGCAAATAGCTAAACACATAATCTGCAAACAAAAAGTCTAAAAAGTCTAAACTGTAATGGTATTTATCAAACAGAGTAAACACCAGCAGTGGCCTGCCTTGCACAATCCTGCAAGTTTTAAGAAACTCTGCTTCTGCTTCGTTGCTTCCTAACAGATCTCTGAAGGAAAAGCGGCGTACCAGTGGTCCTATCCTCTGAAAAACTAAACTCTAGATCCAGTTCTCCACACGTTCAGAAGGCGAGTAAGATGCCCTCCATGGCTATGTCCTCAAGTTACACTTTTTAGAAGCAAGATGTCCTCCATGGTTATGCCATAAGGTTCTACTTCTGGGAGACTTTTTTCTTTAACATTACCACCATATTAAACAAAACAAAAACATGGAAGTACTCTCATAATTCCAAAAGGCACAGTTCTGGGGTCCAGAGGCAGGCCGGCATGAAATGTTACCACTCCACCACCAATGCAGATTCCATTTTACACTTTGAGTTTAGGTCTGAGGTTAGCTTCCCTCTTCATGATTTTACCCCTAAACATACTGTGACTAAATGGCATACTATTTATTACACGTTTAGGTATTTCATTTCAGATGGGACCAGAGATAAACATGGAGTAACTACAGTTAACGTGCTTGCAGTTAAGCGAGTCTGTATCTTGAACACCCCCAGGCGTTAAAGGCCGACCTGACCACTTGAAGCAAGTATGTATTTGTTGTAGTGTGGGAGAGGAAAAAGGCCACACCCAAAGCGAAGGCTTCGCAGTGAAGTGATACCAAGTTTCAGAATTTTAACCATTGCTATTTTCGGCACTCTTTTTCACGGTCAATGAATACTTTAAATTCTTAACCGGCTCAAAGTTCGAGAAGACGTTCCTCTGATTCATTCAGCACCCGGCTGGTCCAAGATGGAGAATTACCCTCATTCAAAGAAAGATTTAAGTCACTCGGCCATAGAAGAGGACCAAACTCAAATGACCAGTGCTCAGAAGTGACCCTGACTGAGGATTACCACTCCTCCCCTCCCCCAAGGGGACAGACAGGCAGACAAGAGCCTGACTGTATCACCAAGAAGTTACCTGACACAGGACGCGACCGCGTTATCGGGACCCTTCTCTCAATTCAGACGCTCCCAGACTCCCTTCTCTCCTCGGTGCCACCTCCATCCAGGCTGTTCCTCCTCCCCCCACCCCCACCCCCGTCAGCCCAGCTCCCGTCACCTTCCTCAGCCCCATCTGCATCCCACCGCCGTGCTCTCGCGTACTCCACTCGTCGACGCTTACCTTGGCCACGTAGTCTTTCACCTCATCCAAGTCTCCGTTTTTCAGGGCCCACATGAACTCCTTGTCGCACATCACTGCAGCGGGGCGGGCCGCTCGGCCGGGCAGAAGACAAGGAGGCGGTGGTAGCAGCAAGCGGATACCGCGGGGCGAGAGGGAGACAGGGCCGCGCGGAGCCGAAAGGAAGAGAAGGCGGGAAAGGCTGCCAGGCGGGCGAGGCAGTTGGCCGCGGCGACCGTTGGGGCGGGAGATAGAAAGTTCTTTTGCGGCCACCGGGCCCAGCAGAGCAGGTTCCGCCTGGCCGAAGAGAAGCAAGAGCGTTTACACTTCCGGTTCACTCCCAGCTAGGATCCTCCCCCAACTTCCTCTTCCTCTTCCCTTCCGGGGAACGCCCGCTCTCGACCCCGCCCCGACGGCCCGGGGCGGAGCGCTCCGTATGCGCAGGCGCAGTGGCTAGGCCGGCTGGCTAACAGGGCCGGGATGGAGTGGGCGGGACTGTAAGGCCAGGGTAGCGAGTCCGTAGGCAGGAAGGGCAGGTAGTGGAGGGGCAGTTAGGCCGTTTCAGGTGGAACCAGGAAGTTTCTGCACACTACACGTGGGAAAAACTTTTTCTCTAAAACACAAGCTTGGAGGGCATCTTGCTCACTTTCTAAAAGTGTCCAGTACGAATGTTTGGTATGAATCCCTTCTCTTCCCCACCTTCCCCGTTTCTTCCTGCCTTCCTCCCGCATAAACTCCCTTTTTCCTTTCCTCTTTCTTGTGCCTTCCCTTTCTTCCTCCACCATCAAGCATCCCTTGGGCTCCTCTTCCATGCCAGATTCTGTTAGACACCAAGGATATAGTGAAAAAAAAAAAATGGAATAAAACAGTTCTGTCCCCAAGGACCTTGTCGATATTTAAGATCACCATGTGAATTCAGTGTGTTAATACTCTGTACAATGTTGTCTGGAGGGAAAGACTTCAGTGTGTGGTGGGGGAAAATTTTTACTACTCTCCCTGACCAGCAAATTATGTCCAGGACTAGGAATTCAGTTTGATGCCATAGGCTGGAGCAAACCCAACCGTCCCCTACAATTTGTGTTTTTTTAAATTTTCGGTTTGTTCTTAATGCGTTGAAGCTTCAGGATGATTCTAGCGAAGCCCGTTCTACTCTTCCTAGAGTTTGCGTGTAATACCTTGGGGCACAAACCCCAAGTGAATTATTCCCAAACCCTAATGACCCAGACATGCACACATGAACAAAGATCCAATAAAAATTTACTGGAACTATTAGATATAAATTTAAAATCTATTATTTATGACTCATTTAAATAAATAAGCCAAACTACTTTACTATGCCTGATATATAATTGTATTCAGATTATAACTTCTGGAAACAGATTGCTTGGTTTTGAATACAGGATCCAACCCTTACTAATTTTGTAAAGCAAAAATTATTTGACCCTTTTCTGTTCAGTTTTCTATGTATGTTAAATGTGAACAATAGTATTCAATAAATTTACTTTTTTGGCTATGATTTAGAGATAGCAAATAGAGGAGGCCTGGGTTGCTCAGTTGGTTGAATGCCTGACTCTTGATTTCAGCTCCGGTGATGATCTCACAGTTTGTGGGTTTGAGCCCTGCTGCGGCTCAACTAGGCCTCAACCTTGATCTATAAAGACTTGAACAAACACTTGTACTTCATAACAGCTCAAGGCCACATCCTAAGATCACCCCAGTCCCACTTAAAATGCCTGTCTGAAGAAAACTCTCAGCTGCCAATTTTTTTTTCTATTCATTCTAACCAATACCTGAGGTTAGGGCCTCTGTCTCCCCATCTCTGTTGGAAGGTAGAATCCTAACCTCAGTGATTGCCAGCTAGCATACACAGCTGGCCTACTTGCCTTACTCTGTTGAGCCCCTACTTGTCTCCCCTTTACTCTCTCATACTTCCTTGAAAACACCCATTCATCTCTGTACAAATCAAAGTTGAGTTCAAGTTGGATTCCTTTCTTTATAGTACTAGTTTGTCAAAAGTTCAGATATAACGGAAGTAAAACCAATGAATCACTAGAAGTAATAATCAGTAAAGGTTTATTGCACACATGCCAAAAAGAGTTTGCAAACCAGGAGCCCTCAAATCAAAACATGAAATGAGGCTCAGGGGAACATTGTATAAAGCAGCTTATATAGGGGCAAAGCAGACTGTTTTTAGTATTAGAGTTTTCTTAAATGATAGGACAGTGGTCAGTGGGTTACCTCATAACAACCTTGGGAAACAGTTTACGCTTTGCTTATGATTTTCGGAGGCAGACGTAAGAGATGACCCAGGTCAGGTTAGTCTTACCAAATAAGTTAAATTAATGTTCATTCATATCACTCAACTGGTATTGTCTGCTCAGGGAATTTTCAAGGCTGGTCTCTGTTTGTTTTTAATTTTAGCAAGTTATTACTGACAAAAAACATTCTGTCCCTTACCACTTATCACTTTAAATGGTGTCTGGCTTTGATTATCTTCGACAACGGAAGTCATAAATAATTCCTATCATTCCCAATCTTTCTGTCTTATTCAATCCATCAGTAAGTCCTTCCAAATGGATCTTAAATTGCTCACCAGTTGCCGTCTTCACTGCTGATGGCCCTACACACCCCCTCCCAGCCCTACCACTTCTGTCTGCTCTGCTACAATAGCCTCCCAGTCCGGTCTCCCCATGTTTACTCTTACCCTTTTCCCAGGAATTCCTTACATAGCCAGGGTTACCTTTTCCAAACAAGTCCAACAGACACTTTTTGCGCTAAGACCTTTCAATGGCTCCTATTGCATTTAGGGTAAAATTCTACTTATTTGCTCCGGTCTTCAGGGTCCTCTGTGATCTGACTCTGACGTCTCTCCCATCTTAAAACACTCCCCTCCCACCCACATTGCTTCTTCAGTTTCCCCAGATCTTGTCTTCTGTCTGTTTTAGAGAGAAAAAAAATAAGCTCATTTCACCGGAGGGCTGTTGCCCTTGTTTCCTCTCTAGAATGTTCTTTTCGTTCTCGCTCACTCCTTTCTGAACTTTGAAGTCTCAATGCAAATATAGCCATACAGTCCATTCCCCCCTCCCCACCTTTGCCTCACTTTTCATAGAATTTGTTTTATTTTATTGTTATTTACCTATTTTGGTGGGTATTCATGGTACTCAACAAATATTTCCTTCTGTCTATCATCCTGAACACAAGAGAGAATTGCTCTCCTTGGCTTCCTTGTGGTTGAGTAATGTCATGTAACTAATTTTGGCCTATTAGTTATGAGGAGAAGTAATATGAGTCATTTCCATGCTTGCAGATACAAGACCCTTCAGAGCTCTTTATTCCCTCTGCTACAGCAACCAGCAATGCTGAAGGCAGTGGCTATAGTCAGCCCGCATTCCTGAGTGACTATATTGAGCAGAGCCCCCCTACCATCCCACGATGGATATGTAGTAAAATAATAAACTTTTCAGCTGCTGAGATTTGGGTGTTTGTGACTGCAGCTAACACTGAGCCAATCTTGACTGCTACAGAAATTATTGTCAGAAGGGAGCTGTTACTAGAATAAACACCTTCAATAGAAGGCATTGACTTAAGGGCCAGGTAGTCCACAACAAAAGAAGTGGTATTAGAAGCCATAAGGATGATGAATCATATTCACAGGAGTGAAACATTTGGCAAACAATCTCCCGCGGTAGCAAAGCAAAGCCTGAAAGGCAGATAATGTACCATGTGCATTTGTAGCTCTAGTGGAAAGAGACTGGAAAATGGAAAGCCAATGGCATGTGGTGTGTGTGTGTGTGTGTGTGGGCACGTTTTAATTTTTTTCTCTGCTTTTCTGAGATATAATTGACATATAACTTTGTGTAAGTTTAAAGTGTACAGTGTGATGATTTGATATATGCATATATTGTGAAATGATTACCTCAATAAGGATGGTAAATACATTCATCACCTCAAAGTTACCGTGTGTATGTGTGTGTGTGTGTGTGTGTGTGGTGAGAACTTTTAAGATTTACGCTGTTAGCATCTTTCAGGGCTGCGATACAGCATTGTTAACTATGGTCACCATGCTGTACATTAGATCCTCACAACTTAATTCATCTTATAACTAGAATTTTGTACCCTTGGCCACTTTCACCCATTTTCACCACCCACTGCTCTCTGAAAACCACCAATCTGTTTTTGTTTTTTTTTCTGTTTGGTGTTTTAGATCCACACAAAAGTAAGATGATGACCACACAGTTTTTGTCTTCCTCTGTCTGACTTATTTCAATTAGCACAATATGTTCAAAATTCATCCATGTTGTCTCAAATGACAAGATTTCCTTTTTTATGGCTGAATAATATTGTTATGTGTATGTACCAGTGTTCTTTATCCATTCATCTGTCAATAGACAGTTAGGTTGTTTCCATCTCTTGGCTATTCTAATTAATACTGCAGTGAACATGGGGCTGCAGACGTCAGTTTAGGATAGTGATTTTGTCTCCTTTGGCTATACACCCAGAGGTCAAATTTATGAATCATATGGTAGTTCTACTTGTAATTTTTAGAAAAACCCTCCTACTGTTTTCCAAGTGACTGTACCAATTTACATTCCCAGCAACAGTATACAAGGACTCCCTTTTCTTCACATCCTTGCCATCATTTGTTATCTCTTGTCTTTTTTGTAATGGCCATTCTAACAGGTGTGAGGTGATAGCTCATTGTGGTTTTGACTTGCATTTCTCTGATGATTAGTGGTATTGAGCACTTTTTCATGTAACTGTTGGCCATTTGTATATGTTCTTTGGGAAAATGCCTATTCAACTCTTTTGCCCATTTTTAAATTGGATAATTTGTTATTTTGCTATAAAGTTGTATGAGTTCCATATGTTTTGGATATCAAGCCCCTATCAGATATATGATTTGCAAATATTTTCTCTAATTCTGTAGGTTATTTTTTAATTTTGTTGATTGTTTCTCTGTGCAGAAGAAGCTTTTTAGTTTGATATAATCCCACTTGTTTATTTTTACTTTCAGTTCCTGTGTTTTGGGTATCATATCCAAAAAATCATTACCAAGACAAATGTCAAGAAGCATTTTTTCTATGTTTTCTTTAAGAATTTTATGATTTCAAGTCTTACATTTAAGTCTTTAGCCCATTCCAAGTTAATTTTTAAGTGGTGTAAGATAGTAGTCTAATTTCATTCTTTGCATGTGGCTGTCCAGTTTTACCAACACTACTTATTGAAGAGACTATCTTTTCCCCATTTAGTCTTCTTGGCTCCTTTTTCAAATGTTAGGTGACTGTACATGCATGGGTTGATTTCTGGGCTCTTTATTCTGTTGGATGTATCTGTTTTTTATGT